AGAACTGCAGATCCACTGAAAACAGTTCAGTTTTACTAAGCACTGGGGACAAGACTTGAAATACTTGCATGCATTTGATTCTATCAGTAAGTACGCACATATAAGAAACTAAGATGTGGGCTCTTTGAAAGAAACATAGGGCAGTAGTGAGTTCATTCTGTGTTGGAAATCTTGGCCTAAAAATATGTGTTTAGCTGCTGTTAAGACCTTGCTTTGTCAATGAAGTTACTTGGAGCGGATTAGCACTTCTCAGAAGATGCTGTTTCAAGGTCAACAACTAACTGTTTGATAGGGCTACACCAATTACCATGGTAAGAATTTATTCCATTATTTCAGAGAAGCTAAAAAAGTGAAGTGGCTTCGTTGCAGGAAGAGAGAACCAAAGTGTAAATTTCAAGTAAAAATGGAGATTGTAGTGTATACAGGTGCAACATGGGATAGACCTTGAAACACTTTTTGCAAGAATTTCTGAGGTTGGCTGAATAAGGTTCAGAACAAGAAGAACAAAAAGTCTTTGCTTTAATGTAGTTCTTAGGAAACAGACTTGACTTTCTGTTGTGCAACAGTCACAGTAATGGTTGGTGGCTCCCAGACTCATGGTTTCAGCCACCAAAGATAAAGCCTTTCTTTTAGTGAAGAAAGCAGTAATGTTGGCTGTTGACTTAGTGAAGGTCAGAGCAGACTTTTTTTCCCTTCTCTTTAAGAGGAAAAATAACATAAAAGAACAATTAAAAAAAAAAAACAAAACAACAAAACAACACAAACAAAAATCAAACTAATCACAGAAGTTGGTTTATATCCCGTAAGATTCCAAACTGGACATAAAATTTGTGCTTACAACAGGTTGATAATAAAATATTCCTGGACTTTGTAGATAATTAATAATGGAGGCTGGAAGGAGTGCCATTGGTTTATCAGGATCACCAGACTGAAGAAATATGTTTTCATCTTCTTTTGCTTTCACACCTGATATTCAGTTTTTCAGCATGACCTATGATGCCAAGAATCCTGGTTGTTCTGTCTTAGGTAAGGGCCACCTTCTCCTTTGTGCTCCATTTCAAGTCACTCACTGCAACTTTGCTATCATCACAGGAACAGTTTTGGCGTGTACTTACATTAATAATTGAATTTGTTACTTCAGGAAAAACAAAAAGTTGCTGGAAGTACGGACTCTATATGTCGGCACTCAGAAAATGGACCTAATGTCACTTCTTCATTTGGAACTAATCCCTCTTGAGTTCTCTGGGCCCTATCTTCTTGAGTCTGAAAAGCAGCTAACGGCTTTGAGTGCTTTAACAGAGGATTGGCAGAACAGGAAGAGTTTGGGGGATATATATTCTCAGTACACCAAATTCTGCAGCCCTTTGTGTTGCTATGAAGGTTGAGTGACTTGAATGCAGGTAGCAAAGTTCGTCTACATTTATACCCATGAAACATTGAGATTTGGTGCAGCCTGTAGATTATTTAGCTTCCTTTCACCAGAACAGATTGCAGCTCTTGGACCTCAGTTGATTGCAACATTTCTTAAGAGTTACAAGGCTCTGTGAGTACTCTGTACTTTCCACTTTGGACTAAGATATGTTGCTATGAATTATGCAGGGAAAAAATGTCTGTCACTCCACCTACATAGGACATTTTCTGGATATATGCAGATTAGCTTGTCAAATTACTCAGATTCCTCTTAAGCTGTGATGGCTTACTTCATTTGCTGCAGCCCATGAATATGAAATGAAAGGGTTAAGCTGTGTTAGCTTTGACTTTTTCTTTCCTGACTTTTTTGATTTTGTGGTAGACATTTAGCACTTCTCAGTATATTATCTGAAGATTGTCTTTGGGAGATGTTCTCTTTAGCTCTTTCTTCCCATATTGGATCTCCATTATGCGAACAAAAATAAATAACTGTTACACTCACCTAGGATTTTTCAGAGCAGCACAAAATGCTGTATGGACCTCACATCACTTTAATTTGTCGGCCTTGGCTATATAAAGCTCCTTCATAGTTATCACAGATATTCCTACTTTTATGTAAAAGAGAATGGCAGAAATATCTGTTCACTTGGGAAATGCTGGTATTTTTAAATGGCAGTGTCTGTAAACTGCTTTTCTAAAGCAACCTATTAAATATCAATTGTTAAGAAAGATGTGAAATTCTGCTGTGTGCTTGAGGATTGAAGGAGCTAAGCAAAGTGCTATCTACCTCTCAACAATAAATTTTTGGGAAAAAATGTTCATATAATCAGAGTCAACCATATCATAGCTGATTATTAAAAAATAGCTGAATACGGCTATACAAATAATTTTGCAGTGTCATGTTTCCCTCTGTTGTAAATGTATTTTGCAGTAAACTGTGAGCATGGAAGTAAAATTTATTGCTTAGCAATAACTATACACCAGCTCTCTAATATTGGAGACTATTTGATACAATTACCTATGGTTAATAGTACTTCTCTCTTCAAACAGTATTGCTGAAATCAATCTATTACTCAACATAAACAGACCTCTCGTAATCACCCCGTATGTCTTTCAAATACAAACATGGTTAACAATAATAAATTTGTGTTCAACCATGTTTCTATGTTCTAGGCTGGTGGATACATTGCTTACATGTAGTGTAATCACACAGCAGTCTTGTTCATGCATATATACTTAGCATGATTTTGAAGAAGGGAAGAGTTTCTTATTTGACATAAGGAGACTGTGTTGATTTGCGATATCATAAAATGAAAGACCATTACAGTCTATGACAACTCCTCTATGCTTTTCTGACATCTCACAACTGAGGTATCTCCTTTCCTAGCTGAAGTTGTTTCTCAAAGTCACATAGAGCTGAAAATCCTCACAGCCTTGTGCTCCTGTGGGTATTTCTATTGGTATAGAGTGTAAAATGGAGTGAAAATCCAGCTCTCACCATAGCTGGAAAATGAAGACCAGATTTTCTCAAGTAAAGGAAAGTGAATCTTGGTTCTCAAAAGTTAAACTGATGTTCATCAAAATATTACCAATAATTACTGTGTAGCAAGTGACCATTATATTGAAATTAAGCCTAATACAGATTCTTGGTACACACTGTGTTTCCTCAGTAGATGAGTTTCACCTCTGATGAATACAGCATTAATCTATGCTTCATAATAAAACAAATGAATTAATAAACTAAATCATATTTTGAACTGTTTAATTTTAAAATTATTTATGATTTGGCTTGTCTGTACTTCATATGCAGTAATCTTTGCTCAAGGAAAAAAATTAGACACTAAGTTTTTCTGTGTTGTTTTTTTCTTTTACAGGGACCTTTCCATGTAATAACATACTAACTCTCAAGTAACAAATGTCCAGCAATCTGTCAAGATATTGCTTAGAATAAAGACATAAACAATATTGTGGATTCAATTATATATCCAAAGTGATTTAGTGGATTAGCTGTCGTGTGCACTTTTTGGGTGCAATGCAACATAGTCTATAGCTACATATTTCATAAACTTGTGACTATTTTAATTAGCTTCACATAGATCTGAACCAGAGTTTTCACTTTATGGACAAGTCTGCTACTTTGAAATGTACGACTCAAATGGAAAATAAGCAGTATTTAAATTTCTTGGAAAGGAAAGCCATAGTAGAATGATGATTTAAAATTAATTTAATTTTTTTTTTTCTTGTAACTGCTTAAACATTTTTGGAAGAGCTAAAACATGAAAGTGGCTTAAGAGAACTGAATTTAACTTTTAAATAAATTTAAAAATTTATACAGAGGTAAAATAGTGGTGGTATGTGCATCGTCTTTTCTAGTATCAAGAAGAATTTTTATATGGATAATCATAGTGCTCCAATCTATAATGAAATGTATTTTCCATATCAAAATGTTTTTCTAATAGTATGCCTGTAAGGTTAAAGTGATTTTACAATAGTAAAATCTATGAAATTTGATATGAAAATTGCTATGAAATTTGTTGTATTCCCAGTTTTGATTTTGATGAGATGGCATTTGGTAGCAGAAAAATGATGCATCAGAACAAACAAGGTTAACTTCCATTATATATATTGAGCTAGGTTCTGATCTGCCTTATACTAGGCCTTCAGTGTAAGCAGTAGTAATCCAAAACCCCTTAAACTTGCAGAGTTTGTTTTCCGGAGGATTTTTGAGTATTTTCAACATCTTAGTTTTTTATCCTGTCATCTCTCTATTGCAGTCATACAGTGGTCAACATCTGCACCTCCTGTATATTCACATACCTTTGCGTAACTGTGAATTTTACTGTATCAATGTAGAAAATGCAGACTTATATTGCCTGTAGGTTATTTATACGGTGCTGTACAAAATCTCTCAAACAAAATGTGTAGTATGTTAGTCTCTGTGTGACAGGTAATTGAGGCACTGACATTTTAATACGTGATGCAAAGCCAATGGTCAAGCAGCTGAAGATGACAAACGCACATTCTCTGACAAACCATGATCTTTCTAAAGCCTATACAAGGGAGAAACAATCTGATGTACCTAAGGTCTGCTTAGATTTAGAAGTCAAGTTCCTTATGAAAATAGGATTGTTACTAGAAGTAGATCAATTTTGTCAAATGTTAGAGATATAAATGTTAGGTGACAGGTGTAAATTAACTTACAAAGAAACACTTCTGAATGGGAGTTTTATTTAATTTATCATGCATAGCCATCTTAAAATGAGATGAGTCATTCACCGACATGCCCCTCTGTTTCCACACACACTACAGGGAAAGCTAAGCTTTGATTAAGAAGCTAAACTTAAGTGGATAAAACCATTAGAGATAAAATCCACGTATAGGAATTTAAAGCTTTTTGCTTCTTTTGCCCAGAAGCTCATTCTTCATGTTTTAGGATGTAAGGAGATAGCAGGAAGAATAGAGCCAGAAAGAAGGAGTAATAAATGAGCACCACACTCTTCCTAGTCACAATTCCTGGTTACCTTGTTGAGTTAGCCTCCTTCTACATGCTTGTAAGCAATCAAATGAAAGCTCAAAATGCTTTACCATACCTGATTGTGGACTTTGTTTGGGAATTTTGGCTGCTGCTTCAGGACTGGAGGTGGCACGCATGCGCTGATTGGCAGAGTTATGGATGCTACTTGGAACAGCTGCTGAGATGTTTTTGCGAGGTTTCATGTCTTGCAACCACATTGGAGATGCCTCAAAGGCTTGCATTCGCCGAGAGTGGCTGTTAGCATTGACTTTGAGAAATGCTTGGGCCTTGTATTCCTGAAGGTCTCCATAGTTGGCATCGGTCACCCTGCACTCATACAAGCCTTCATCCTTTTTCCTCACTTTCGAAATCTGCAGCTTGTGGGAGATGTCATTCCCTTGTACTTTCACTGTCTGCAAATTTGCCAGGAGAACAAACAAACAAACAAACATTTTGTCAGCTGTTGTTCTCTGGGAAGACTCTACCGATGTAGTGCCAAATTAATCAGTGGTGTGATTGTGCTTACTGCAGGGAAGTTGCATCAGGGATGAGCATGATTATTTGTACCTATAAGGTGGTCTGACATCTTCTTTCTAAAGCTGTTTAGATGGTTTGCTCTGAAAGACTAATTGGCCTCAGACAAACAACCCAAACTACCATGTTCCTTCCAATTAATTACTTAAGATCATGAAGATTCTTTATGAGCTTTCTTACATAAATGTAATATCTGTGCACTTAATTGGTTAAACCTTTCCAATAAATTCACTTTATTGAATAATTCAGCTTTTGGACTTCTGCATTAATAATTTTTTTTTTAAATGTTGGCCAATATTTAAACTTCTTTAATAACAATTTCTTGGATTAGCTTGTAGTCTCCATTACAATAAAATTGCATATTTGACATTCAGTTTGTCTCCTTCATAACAAGACATCTTGTGCCAGGTAGTTCCTTTTGTCCCATTTATGTAAGTGTGTGTTTATTAGAAGTCACACATCATTTCTGCAGCACATATTCAAGTAGCACATATTCAGGATTGTTTTAAAAGTTGTCAGCTAAAATAACTGCTGATTTATTTTTAATTGCTTTTAATATTTGAGGGTAACATAATTTATTTTTGTCTCACATAATTAAAATATACACAAGAAAATTATGCATCCAGAAATGCATGGTAGATATTAAGACATGTTAGGGAAGGTAACACATATTCCTTTCTGTATATTCATCACTTTAGGGAATTTATATTTAATTAATTGTCTATTACTCTCTATCTGGATTAATATCTCTTGCCCCACAGGAAGTCAGTTAAAAGGGATTCAGTGGAAAACTTCAGCTTTGAGGAACTCCTGAACCTGGTTTACATCCACCATTACATAAACATGGATGTAAATGTGGCTTTGTGTCATATCACTGACAGGCAATGAGGAAACTTCAGGGTGATGAGTATATGGCAGACCATGAAAATGGACAACTGTTCAACTGTAACTAGTCTGGTGTTATTGGTGATTATACAACATATTGCTTCTGATAGCTTGGTATGCTGCAGTTACCGGTGTTGGCAAAGCATCTGTTCTGCCTGCTTGATAAATTGAAGAGCAATATTTGTGAATACATTATTGCTTTAAGGTACTGGACAGACTTTGCAGCCTGTTGTGTTTTATCCAGCTCGAAATGTATACTTGGCAAACTGAGTTGGAAGTATGGATTGCATACTTTCAGGCATAATGTATGCAACATTAATTACATGGAAACTGCTGGATAGTTATTTAAACCATATTCAATAATAATATATCTCTACTGAACAGCTCATGTTCGGCAAAAGGATTAAAGATAGTTCATACGAATGGAAAGAAGATCTTTAGGTCATATCCCACCTTCATTTGTTCTACTGCAATATCTGCAGAGTTAACAGTGTTGATAACACCAATGAAAAAACAGAATTTGTTTTAGGTTTTGTATTTTGAATATAGAAATTTGCAGTCAGCACGTATGTGTGTTTTCACTTTATGCTTAACTATCATTTTAAACCAATAAAGCAGTGTATTTCTTCACAGCTTAAGACCACATTTAATATATTTTACCATTTCTGTAAAGAATTTACTAACTGCACTTAAAGTTTGTTCCTCTCTTCATGAAGATATTTGCCAGTAGTACTAATGGAGACTCTGTGTTTGCCTTCAAGAAGGAAAAAAAGGAGGGCTACATTTGTAACAAGCGTATTTAGATTGTCAACATAAGGTTGACTTTTTTTTAATTGTAAAAATAAAATGTTTTATGCAAGCTCATAAAAACACTGTCTAAATACCCCATCATGAATTACTATCATACGTAATGAGAGAAAGAGATTTTTAACTTGAAAGATGGGACAAGCTATATAGCCTGTACTGTGTCACAGACCTTATAGATTACTATTGTGATTTTGAATGGGCCAGTATTCATAAAGAATTAATTGTCTTGGAGTATTATGTCTAGTGGAGTAGTATTCAAATACCACATGCAGACGTTATTTTTAACATAGTCTACTAATGGAATTGAAAATACAGTCAACAACACAATCGTTTCTAACGTATGGTAAAAAGTGTCATAGGTAAACTAAGTATGGCTAAATATGTATCATTTTGAATATACTGTATTTGAATTCTCTTTTATAAATGCCCTTCAGCTATACCTAGCTGCACGTTGAGCCAGTGTAATTACTTGGTTAATTATTTGCAGGCATCAAAAAGCAGCAAAGGATTTAACAAAAATATTTCACCTCTATCTGTTGCTGGTCTAAGCTTTGCTGGTACTTACTTCCTTGGCTGTAGCTAAAAGGCACTTCTGAAGGGATTGTGTCTGAGAAAGGGAAAATCCCTTTGGGCTCATAAGGAATACCCATGCTGCAGTATCTGCCAAGTATCTGTGTCTTTCCACTGCAGTAAGCACCACACCATGACCTCACCATCATGTATTTCTTGGGATGCTGAGGGAGGAGGGTCTGAACTCTTCTGAGGTCAGGGGCTATGGCGCAACGTATGGGTCTGCTGTGTAAGGCATCCTTTCACTGGACAACGGTTGCAGCAACGCTGCTCATAAGTTTGTTGAGACAACTTTCTAGTCTAATTTTCAAACAGCAGATTGGTAACTCTGGTGTCAGAACCCTGCTTTCCTAAGCAACAGTTTCAGTGGCCAAGAGTGGAAATTACTCCCAACAGGGAGTTCTTGTCCAAAGACTTTATGAGTTTTTTTCTGCCAGGCAATATGAACCTGGGAAAGTACCCATTTAAACACTTGCACACCCCACTGAAGGAAAGTGCAGCTTCACAGTCAAATTTCAGCCTTAAACCCAGCTTTGGCACGCTAAGGTAGGCTCAGCAGTTACCCAGGGTAAATGAAAATAGGAGGTCTAAGGACGGGTGCAGGCTGGCTGCTTCACGGGGTGGAAGCAGAGCTTGTCGAAGGTCTGCCTGGACCTCGCTTCATGCCGGGGGATCTGCAGGGGCGAAGGCTGCGTGGGGCAGGGCTGGCACCCTCTGCCGGGGCTGGCGGGAAAGGAGCCGAAGAAGGAGCCACCCGCCCATTTCAGCATGCGGTGAGAGTGGGAAGG